CGAATTCCTACACGATCCTAGGAATACAAGGAACAACATATAAAAACTTGGAAGCGATCCAACGGTTCTAACATATTGAACCCAGATAACACACGATATGTAAAATCCGTTCGGGGTTCAAACGTTATCCAAATTGAGATCCGTAAAATCCTACTCGCTCGTGACAACCAGGAGATCACATTGGGACAAAATACCCCTCTGATACCGTGCCCACGCGCCGCCACACGCGCTGGCAGCGCGTGGGTGTCCATAGCGATATTGCATCGCCGGAAAATTTCAGAATCTCAGGCCAAGACTCCTACCCTAGGTAATACCCCGAATCTGGAGTCACTTTTGTTCTTGGACATACCCCAAAAAGTCGACGGAAGTGGCCGGAATTTCAATGTGAAAATCGGCTGAAACCTAATTCCAAAATCGAGCTACAAACTCTCAAAATTTCTGGAAACCTATCCAACAGGCAACTAGAGCACAAAAAATAGTCGAGAATCCATACCTCACTCGACTAATTTGATTGAGAAACAAGGGAGATCGAAGACTTGGAAAATCTATCAAAATCGGAGAGATTTTCTGCGTTTTTCGGCGGGTTTCGTCGGCTCCAAGGGTTGTGCTGGCCGGGGAAGAGAGAGGAGGAGGTGGCGGTTCGAATGGGACCGGTCTCGTGGCCAGTGGTCCGGCGTGGCGACTGTGGTGGCTTGCAAAGCCACCGGCTGTTCTGAAAAAAAACGAAGGGAGGGGGGAGCTGCGCGCGGGGAGAGAGAGAGAGAGAGAGAGAGAGAGAGAGTTTTTCTGTTTTTATTAAAAATAAACTTCGAAATAATTACGATTGTGCCACTGAGAGTTTTTAGATCGTATCTCTCTCGTTACAACTCCGATTCAAGCCTACCGTATGTCTACGGACTCGTCTCAGTACGACCTACGTAAAGGTACCAGCCATTGCCCCAAAATCCTCCAGGATAAAAATGACTAAACTACCCCTACTCTGAGGGCAAAATTGGAAATTCATAATTATTGAAATTAATTAATTTACTATTCCTTTTATTTTGGGTCAGGATGTTACAGTAAATTTCATTAAACTCATCACCTCTTTGAAATTGATTTCCTCATAATCATAAAATGAAAGCACCTCATTAGCTGTTTTCCCTTATAATTTTCTCTCACAATAATTTTTAAAAATACGTAATTTTCTCATAGTTTACCAAACGGGCTAGGCTTCTCAAATTTTTTTTAAAATCACTTATCACCCTAAATAAGAAATGCCAGAAGGGCATAGTGGTCAGTTTTTCAGAATTTGGGGTAGAAATTTGTACGGATTTCTATCAAGCCTTGATTTTTTTTTTCTTATTGGAAAAAAAGAAAGGAAAAAACGTGTTGAATATCTTGATGATAAGTATGACGATGATCAAAAGTTTAAATCTATCTAAACTTTTAGGCAATATTAAATTAATAATTAATCCCCAAACCTAATCTATATATATAAAGCAAAAGGCAGAGAATGGTGAAACATTCAAAATACTAGAAAATGCCCTTGGTTAATGCAAACATTAAGAATTGAAATTATTAATTAAATGAGGATAATATGGTAAATTCACACTTTTTCATATTTAAAAAAATTAAAATTAAAAGAAAAATCAGATAATTACCTATTTTTATGAAACACAACTACTCATTATCTTTTTTAATTCTAAAATAAATTTTAATTTTTAAAAAAAAAAAGCCTCTCACAGGCGCGGAAGCGCGTGCGAAGAGGCTAGTATTAATTAACTCTAAAGCCGACCCATATAGCCAATCCTTGCTTGTAAGACCCATGTCTTGGGGAAACAATAACGGTGAGCAATCCCACATCGCTTGGGGAGGGAAAGGTGAAGTGCCTTATATGTGTGGGCACTTTTCTTCCTAGCAAGAGGCCTTTTGGGCAAGATAGCATTAACTTTAGCCCAAGAACAAAACCGCAAGGGGGGAGGTCCAAAGCGGACAATATCTTGCTAGGGGAGTCGAGTCGTGACAAATGGTATCAGAGCTGGACCTCGACCGGAAGTGTACTAGCGAGGACGCTGGGCCCCAATGGGTGTGGATTGTAAGACTCGTGTTTTGAAAAAACAAGAACGGTGAACAATCCCACATCACTCGAGGAGGGAAATGTGAAGTGCCTTATATGTGTGGGCACTTCTCTTCTTAGCAAAAGGCTTTTTGGGCAAGATAGCATTAACTTGACCCAAGAACAAAACCGTGAGAGGGGAGGCCCAAAGCGGACAATATCTTGCTAGATGAGTCGGGTCGTGACATTTTTGTTCATCCGATCCAAGTATTGCGAGTGTACACATATGAGGGTCATAGGTTATTGTATCCTGGAGGGTAGGCCGCCATACAACCTTACTACACCGAGACACTGTCTCCAAGGGGCGAAATCTACTTTTAAGTACAGTGACTACACACCTCAACCTAAAACTATTATTCTACTCAAGTATCAATAAAGACCAACTTCTACATCTCAAAAAATAAGTAATTTGTTGTAATTTCATTGGTTTTATTTAATATACTCTATCAATGTAAATTACAATTTTCTAATAATTATTTCATATGATGTTTTGCAGGAAAAGTAGCATCTTCAACCAAATTTTCCAACAATACACACATATTAATGATGATCATATATATGAAATAATTCAGATTATGCAAATTAGATTTTTGCAATCTGATCAATGTATACCGGGTTATTGGCAGCAACTCCACCTTCGGTGAGATTGAATTCTCTTGATTCACCATTTGAATTTGTGGATTTAAATTGATAAGTTGGAAGGTAGCATGGGGGTGCTGAAGTTCCAATGCATATATCAGAGAGCAATAAGCATCTAAGTTGGGGTTCTTATTCAACTAAAACCATGACAAACATATATATACAAAATCAAGAAATGTTCATAAAAAGAGCACCATTAGAATTAAATTATGTAAATATATGTATGTGTTTCAATTAAGAGATAATTAATAAACAAACCTGATAGTGGAGAAGATAACTGGTTGCAGCCGCTTTATATCAAAAGTTGGGATTACAACGTTAGTTAATGTGTCGCGCAAATGTTGGTCTCCTAATTTTTCCTTCACCATTTTATGTAAATACTTCCTGTCACATTTTGGTCTCCCAAAAACTTTCAAATTCTCCGCAACATTGACGAGTGGAGAACTGTTGTACATGGATGAAAATTAATTATCGTGAAACATTATGTATACGAATGTTGTAGTACAAAAATTTATGCAGATGCTGATTTTCCTAATGATGCCCATTATAAATGAATGCACAAATTATCTTGGTTTTGTAGCCTCATAAGTTCTTCTATGTACTTCAACTTTCTAGCAAATACCCAAGTCCTAAATTCTAATAAAGATGAGCTAAGAAGAATTACATATATGACAACAAACGATGCATGCAGGAGAACACTATAATGCATGGAATGCATACATAAAAATATTACCTTCACTGAGCTTGGTTGCATTGGGTAATTATGAAGTTGATTTCAGCCACAGTAGTCAACTTAGCACTAACTTGAATTAGCCTAAATTCTTTGAGCTTGATCATACATATTTGTCAAGGAAAGCTAAAAACATTAGCTAAACAAAACCTAACAAATTGGAAAACTCATCTATGAGACAAGTAGCAAGAAATTTGCATATTGTGGAAGGATTTGGTGGCTCTTCTTCATGATAAAAGATGCTCATGTTGGAGTTAAAAGTTTCTCTTGGACTGCCGGAGCGAACACAGTGGTCTCTCACCAAAACCAGGAACCAATTCGAATTTGGATCTTGACATGTCGGTGGTTTTTAACCGTAGGCATCTTGCCTGGAAGTTGGTGGGCTCATCATGATTTATAGTGTCGGTTTGTAAACCGCGGGGACTAAAAGATATCTACAAAACTAGCGTTGGTGTGTGTCATTCTTACAGTAATCTGCTGATTTGATAGTGGCCTCTCAGCTTATTAGAAATGGAGAATATTGCTTTATATCCTTTGGAGTAAAGATAAAGCTAAAAAGAAAGCGACGTTATAACAAAAGTTCAAACCCCACTTTGATGTTGCAACGCTTACTTGTTCCATGGAAGACCCACTTCATCCGTTTCTTTCGTTTCTACATTTAGTGCCTCTCCTGTAGTTTTCAAATTTACACTTAAAGTTGAAGCCATGGCGAACTAGGACATGTTACCAAACTGAAATGGCTATATGTGAAATTTGCCACAAGTGAGAAAGCCTGCCCCTTATTTCAATGGAAGACCATATAGGATCAAGTTAACACACCCAAATTTCATCTTCATTAAAAGCAATCAAACTAGTTAAATTTATAGCGATTGCCCAACAAAAAAGGGTAAAACAAGAGCCACCAGAGCCAATACAAATATAGATAACCACACAAGGTTATTACAAATACTGAAGCGCAGTAATCACGAAGGGTTTTTAAAAAATGGCACTTAAAACCATGGAAAGTTCACCAAGGGTTTTTATTTTTAACTTATTGGGGATAGATAGCCATAAATGATAATGTGCGTCGTTATCCATTTTATTATGAATGTAAGTATCTGGACTTCAAAATAAAACAAAAGTTGCTGGTCCAAAAAATATATTTTTAATCCTTTTTTCCTTTTACAAAGAAAGCAATGAATTTCATTAATAAAAACAAAAATACACAGTGGTGCCGACACGTTAAAACCTCTTAATTGCAACACATTTGCGTAGTTCTTTTTTTTATTTAAAGAAATAGAATTCATTCATAGAACCAAAGACGTACGATGAGCAACATCATAGTTCCTTAAACACTATGAAAACAAGGTTATATTATATTATGGTTTATTTTATGCCCCGACCAGTCGCCAATAAAATTCAATCTTTAAAGAAAGGGTTTGAAAGTTATTGTGAAGTAGATATTGAGAGCAGTTGGAGCATACATATTGACCATTTCATGATTTTGTTTTGCGGTCTGAGTTAATAGTCAACTTGGATTATGATTGTTACCAACAAGTTCACAAAGCAAAAACTTAATTATTATACTAAATCAAAAGACTTTGCAGTTTTACTGTCACTTAAAGAAAACACAGTAAGATAACTCTTGGCCAAAATACATGTCTCACACTTAAAACTAGACTAATCACATGAGCGGAATAAAGATGGAAACAGACGCTTAAGGTAGCCAAACAACGGGTGTTTGAAGCGACGATGCCATAACCAAATTTGTTGTTTGTTTTTGACACTGCAACTTTGAACAGTATTAA